GTTCTGTGTGAGAGCATTTTTGTGGGGTGGGAACCTGTCTGTATCATTCACTACTCTGTGCTCGTCACCCTGCCCGGGGAATTACTCCCCGGCATGCAGTGTGCGCTTAGCGACTCTGGGGGTGAGGATTGCCTGGGTCAGGGACCCTGATGATGGGCTTGTGTGTTCAGAGAGCTGTTATATCAGCCAGCAGCGGTGAGCTGCCCTGGAGAGAGGCTAAGGCCTGTCCTTTGACTGAATCCACAAAGGCTTCCCATCCCTCTTCCCATGTTTTTCAGGATATAGAAGCAATAAAATAATACTTCTTTCTTTGTAATCACCTTATAACATAGTAGAGCCTGCTTTTTGTGCTAACTCCTACTCATGACTCCTTCTCTGGCAAAGGGCCCTGCCTCTATATTCCCATAGCACTTTATGGAGGACTGATTTTCATTTAATGAAATTCACCCATGTTCAGTATACTGAAACTTCCAGAAAGTTCCCTTGTGCCTAGGCTGCTGCTGCTTTTTAAAAACTGTGGTAAAATACATATAACATAAAATTTACCATTTCGGCCATCTTTAAGGGTGTGGTCCGGTGGTGTTAATTAAGTATGTCCGTATTGTGTCTCCATGACTACCGTCCATCTCTAGAATGTTTTCCATTTTGCAAAACTGAAACTCTGTACCCATACTCCATAGATACTAACTCCCCATCCCCCCATTTCTCAACCTCCTCCAGCCCCTGGTAACCACCCATACAACTTTCTGTCTCTCTGAATTTGACTTTGGTTTCTTCTTTTTTTTTCCTATTGTGGTAAAAAACACATATGACATTTATTGTCTTAACCATTTTTAAGTGTGTAGTTCAGTAGGATTAAATAATGGCTTACTTTTATTTTTATTTTATTATTTATTTATTTATTTATTTATTTTTTAAGTTAATTAATTTGAGAGAGAGTGTGCACATGTGCTCATGAGTGGGGAAGGGGCAGAGAGAGGGAGACAGAATACCAAGCAGGCTCTGTGCTGCCAGTGTAGAACCCGAATGGGGCTCGATCTCACGAACTGAACCATGAGATCATAACCTGAGCCCAAATCAAGAGTTGGACACTTAACTCACTGAGCCACCCAGGAGCCCCAGTGGCTTCTTTTTCAGGTACGTTTAGGTTTAGTTGTGAATGCAGAAAACTCCAAATAACAGTAGCACAAAGTCGGTAGTCCACAGCTGCTACCACGAAGTACCATCACTAGGAACAGAGGCTGCTATCTTGTGCTTCGTCATTTGTAACACACAGCTTCTATCTCATAGTCCGAGATGGCTGCTCTAGTTCCAGCCATCAAGTCCACATTCCAGCCAGCATAAAGGTAAATGGGGCAGAAAGGCATGTGTTTTTCCTTTAAGAGCACTTCATAGGAAGCACATGTCCTTTTGCCCTCACGTCCCATCGGAAAGAACTTAGCCGCGTAGGCACATCTTGCTGCAAGGGAGCTGGGAAATGCAGTCTTCATTCTGGACCACATGTTCCATTTCTAATTTGTGGGTCCTACTGCTGAGAAAGGAGGGGGAATACCCAGCAATGTCTGCCACAGCTTCCCTGCCTCATGGCACTGATCACTGCACTGAGATCAATTTCTTCTTCCTGGACTGCAGATTCCCTCAGTCAGGGGCTGTGTCTTTTAGGCACAGAGCCAGGTCCTTAATGTTTGTTCTACAAATAAATGATTCCAGCCGAACCATCTTATTTTGAATATTAGAGAAGTGAGGCATTAAAGAGTGAAGTGACCAGGGTCATCGAGTCCAGGTTCTGACCTAATTCAGGAAACTGCTTTACTGCAGACTGGGCAGGTGACCTCCACTGACCATGCCCACTGCTGGGCACTTCCCACCTCTGCTGCTGGGCAGCTCCAGCCATCCAGGGCCCCTTCTGGGTGTGGAGCCGAGCCTGGCCTCCCTGGAACCCTCCTGTGGTCCCACGTTGCCCCCTACACCATGTGTCCACTTCCCATACCTTCCCCTGGCTCCAGGTGTTCCTCTGCCCGGCACGGATGCCTCCTGTGAGTCTTCACAGGACATGAGCCTCCCTGAGGCTAAGGGCCCTGGGCAGGAAGGCAATCCACCTCTGTCCTGGGCTGTGTGGAAGAGAGCTGATGGCCCCCACACTTCTCCAGGACTCTGAAGGGCTCCAGCTCCAACATTTCCCCTTAACCTGAGATGGCTGCTTTCTCATGCAAAGACAGACGTGCTCTTTGCAGCCCGGAAGCTGCAAACACAGGGAGGGGATCGGGGTCACGCTGAGGAGGCTGGAGGATGCAGGTCACAGGTACCCTGGACGCCGTGTAGATTTATTGGTTGACCAGTGAAAGTCCCTGCGTCTCCTCATGGTGGCCTCCTTGCCCTTCCCGAGGGAGTTGCTAGATGTTGGAGAGACCTTTACACTGTGCCCTGTGCAGCTAGTCCTCTGTCTCAGTGGATGATCTAGTCGGAAATGGGTGTGTGTGGAAAGGAGCTTCTGTTGCTGTTGAGCAAGAAGAATCCAGATCCCAAGGTAGGGACTGACATGGCTGAGGGGGACATGGGAGAGGGGTGAGGAGAAGTAGGGAGGAGCTTGATGGGCTGGGGTCTGGGGCATGTGGGCAGGAAGCAGGGCAGGCCCCGCCCTCTTTATAATTAGCTATGTCACCGTGGACGTCCCGCAGCCTCCTCAAGACCTTCTGACTTGCCCAGAGACGACCTGATGGCCGTTGTGGCCTGCCTCTGAGGGCCCAGATCTCTCCCAGCCCACAGCATGGCCTTTCTGGGTTGGCTTACGTTGTGAGGCCTGACGGCCCAGGCTTTAAGTTGTAGGGTTCCCTTTTGGGCCCGCCTGTCCCTCTCTTCTCTTTTCCTGCCTTCCTAGAGAAGCATGGTTCCTAGAGAACCATGAGGCCCTGGTTCTCTGATGGCCTCTGTGGCTTCTTAAGCTAGCCTCACCCACTGCAGGCCTCAGGCTCTCCTCCCCCAAGCATGGCTGCAGGGGGCAGCACCATCTCCCCAGGACCCTCTGCGTAGTGTGGCTGCTAAACTCCAGGGGAGCTGCTCTGGAGTGTGACAAACGTCACATAGGAGGCTTTACACAGGTGCCAGGGGCTTGCGGTGTTGTCACAGTTGAGGCTTCACACCTGGCTCCTCAGTTCCTTCCAGAAAGCCCTTCCAATTTTAACTCTTACCACCCCACGGGTGGCATTCAAACTCCCTTCCCCCACAAAGGCTCTTTTTATTTTCTTGGCGTGGCGCTCAAAGCTCCCAGCAGGACTGAACAAGAGGCGCCTGTGTCCACTGGCGTCCTCTGGAGACCCCAGGCTGGCTGCACCATGCTGAGTGATGTGGGCCTCATGGTCGGTGATACACAGGCGGATCCCTCTCCCAACTCGCAGGCTTCTCTTGCCACCTTTTGGCACGGTCACTGCACGGGGCCACTGGCAAGGCACAGGCGTCGACGGGAGGTGTCAGGAAGAGTGGGAGCCGGGGGCATGAATTTAGATCCCGGGCCTTTAAGTAAAGGCTTAGAATCAGCCTCCACCGTGGGGAATACGAAACGAATAAGCCCCTGGATGGTCACCACCGCCTTCCCCCAAATTTCCCGGGGCAAAGCCGGGAAGGCTCTCTGGGGGAACCCGGAACCACCTCGTGATCCTGTTGTAGCTCCCAGCACGAGGATGGCCACTGATGTTCACATTCTACTCATTGACTCTCAGGGGAGCGGGCTTGGGGAGAGATGGAGGGAGCAAAGCAGAGAAAGGCTAGAAGACAGATTCCAGAGGCTTGGTTTTATTGTACACTTTTCTTTTTCCTCAATGAGATACCATAAGCTGTGGTGGCACTACACACAGTCACAGGACGGGGCACAGCTGCCGGCTGGGGAGCTGGGTGTTGGGAAAAGCCATCTCTCGAGGCGTGTCCCGCTCACGGGTCTCACTCCATGGGCTGCCTCAGACGCCCTTGCCCCCCAGGTCCCCGAGAGGACAGGCCTGTGGGGCAGAGGGCCGTCTCAAGGCTTGGCCACCGGCCAGAAGGGGTTGGCGCTGTCGGGGGAGGGAAGGAAGAGCCTCCCAAACGCGGGCCAAAGTCTGCTCTGCTCTGGGACTCTACCTGGCCTGACTTACTGCCTGCGGGCCAGAGTTCTGGAAGCTCTTAGGAGCTTGGGCCAGGCTGGGAGGAGGCTTGTCCTCTGCCACCCTCTCAACGGCTGCTTGAGGTGGTGAGGGACAGCAGGCTCTCAGTTTTAGTTTCATCAGGCAGAGAGGGCTGATGGACCCTCTCTTCTACCCCCTCTCCAACCCGCCAGTAGATTGCTCCCAGGCAGAATCTGCTTTTTCACGGGGCCGCACCAGGCCTGAGGCCCCTAGGGAACCTCGGCAGTTCCCTATGTGGAACTGCTTCCCGTATGTGGACGGCTTCTTGCTGTGGCAGAGGCTGCTCCTGGAGATGTTCCTTCTCTCCTCTTGTGAGGGGCCCCAGATGCTTGGTGGTGCCCTCACATCCGGGCTCTTCAGGCACCATCCCTGCCTGCTGGGGGATGTGCTAGGCCCAGATGCATTCCATCCTCCTCCTCATCCAGGTCTCTCCTGGGCCTCTGGTCCTGGTGGGCAAGGATGATCCCCCCCCTCTCCCAGGGACTGGCATCCCTCCATCCTTCTACCCCTCCCATGCCCTCACTCTCCATCACATTCCCAACCCTGGCTTCCCTTTTCACAAACTCCTAAAGAAAAGGAAGGATAAACCAGACAGAAGCAACTCTGGAACAAAGAGTTAAAAAAAAAAAAAAAAAAAAAAAAAAGATAGCCAGTGGCGTGCGGAGAGGGTGTGAGCGGCAGTGGGGCTGGGGAATGGGTAGACGATGGCATGCGGCACTGGGATTCCTTGTGAGGGGTAGGGTCCCCATTTCTCCCCAGGGTGTGTGAGGGATTGAGGGTAGGGGGTCAGCCAACTCCGAGAAGTAGGGTCTCTGGACTGGGCCTTGTGGCTTCCTGCCCAGCCAGTCACAGGGAGATGAAGTCCATGGCCTGGAGGAGAGGCAGGGAGAGCAGAAGCAGCAAGAGCCACGAGGTGTTCTGGGCCAGCAGGCTTATGCCCTCACACTTGACCAGTTTGTCTGTGGGGAGAGAAGAGGGAGGAGGGGTAGGGCAGGAAAGAAGAGGCACCAGGATTCAGGCAGGCACAAGCCCTGAGAAGGGCACGTTCCCTTGGGGAGGCTGGTGTCAGGATGTCTTAGCCGGAACCAGGGCCTGTCTGCTCGACTAGAACCACCTGTCTTTCCCATTTGCAGGTTCCTGAGCTCTTGGACAAACATCGTATCAGATCTTTATTAAGCATCATCAAAAGAAAACTATGGGTGTTTTCTAGGTGGGGAAGAGGAGGGCTGGGGAGGCCAAGTGATTTGCCCAGTCACGGTGGAAGTGTCCGCTCCACCACTCTGCCTGTCTCACCGTTCCCTCAGCCTTTCTCCCTATTCACACAGAGGGCAGTGGTTCCCCAGGGCACCAGGCAGCAGTTGGGGGAAGGGGGAGAGAGGTTTCTGGGGCCCCTCTCCTCTTCGGCCCAGTCAAGGGGGACTGCCTTGCTGTCCTAGCCAACCCTTTCCTCCCTAGCCTCCCTCTCCCAGCTCACTTGGACTTGTTGGGAGCTCGCCTCACCTCTGAGCACAGAGACATTCTTGCTGGAGCTGGTGGTAGACTGGCCAGAGAGCTGGAGTTCACATGTGTACATCCCCTCGTCCTTGGTGGTGAAGCCGGATAAGTAGAGGACCTTGATGTTGTACTTGCTGGTGAAGTTGGTTCGGGAGCGGTATGAGTGCTCAGGCACCCCCATAGTGCCAAAGATCACGTGCTTCTTCTTCTCACGGGTTATGCTGAACTCATACTGGATGGGGGAGGTGGTGGAGTTCTCGTGGCGGCAGTCCAGACGGAGGCTCTGGTCCACCAGGCAGGCTGTCAGGCTGGTCACCTTCTGCCCACGGGCTACCTGCAAGACTGGCACCGGCAGTGCCCACATCCAAGTTGGGGGGCCCTGCAGAGCCGGGGGCCTCCCACCCACATTAACAGTAGAGAATGGCCTGGCCAGGGAGGGCACAAGGGTCTGTTCTTTGGGCACCCTTCCCCACCCCAGAGGTCCCCGAGGGCCAGTTCAACCTCCCCGTTGCAGATTCAGCCCCCCTCCCTCATCATCTTTAGTCCTGGGTGTTCCAGGGGCAGGAGATCTTGGGGAGCTGATGTAGGTTCCTGGTTTCCATTTGGAGATTCCACCTCAGTGTGGGGCAGACTCAGTAGACTGCTTTTCCGAAAGCCACCTCAAGCAGGCAGAAGATCAGCTAGGCTGCTCAGCTGATTTAGGGATGAAAAAGAGCCCTCTCTCCCTTTGTCACCTCCTCCCTCTGAGGTTGGCAGGAAGAAGCTCGCTCCTCTGAAGGGAAGGAAGCCAGCGTGCTTTGAATCCCAATCCCAGCCCTGCCCCTTGCCCAGTACCTGTCAGCAAAACAGCGATGCCGATGGTGGGGTTCATGGTGCAGAGAGCTCAGTCCTCGATCTGGTGGGGGGGGGATAGGATGGGTATCAGCCAAGAGGTGGGGTAGGTGTGCCCACACTTGCTGCTCGGGCTGGAGGGCCTCTGCCATGATGGCCCCGGCAGCCATGGAAGCTGCTCTCCATGGTTGTCCCCTCCCACTTACTAGTGAATGTGACACTGCCACTAGGTGCTTTCCCCCCTCCAGGAAAGCGAGGGGGAGGGTGGACACACCCTATAATGGTGTGTGTCTGCTGAACTCTTTGAGTGAGTGACTTTTACCGTCTCCTTTTCCCTTCGGGAAGGCAAAGTAGACGTATCACAACATTTACCACCTTAATCATTTTTAAGTGTCCAGTTCAGCAGTGTTAAGTTCACTCGCATTGTGGTGCAACCCCCAGAACTCTTTTTATTTTGCGGCACTAACACTCTACCCATCCCACAAAAACTCCCCATTCAGGGGCTTTCTGTTTCTTGTTCAGGAGAAAATCCCCAGTGCCCAAACAGTTCCTGGCATATAACAGATGCTCAAAAGATACCGAACGAATGAAAGAATCAGCTTTAGATACCTACAGCGTGGTGATGGGTTTAGGAAAAATGATAAACCTTTGGCACTGAGGACTGCTCCATAGTAAGTGACCCACAAACATTAATTTCCTTCCTCTGAAAGGACTGTGTGGCTAACGTGCTTCCAGATAGGACTGTCCCTGGCACACAGCTAACGGTGTTCCCGAATGTCTGTGAGGGAAAGCGACTGTGCTCTCTGATTGCATATGTTCTCTGATTGCAGGATGTTTCCAAAATGTCCAGCCCTCTGGGCATGTCTCTTGAGCCCTGCTACAGTAGACTCCCTGCCTGGGCTCTGTGCCTTGTCTTTTTCCGAAGCCTACTCTGGACCAATATCCCGGCGTCCACACGGGGCAGATAGCTTGGCCTGTCCGCATCAGGGCTCACCGGGGAGAGGCCACGGGAGTGGCCTGCGCCGGGGGATGGGGGGGGGG